CTCCCACCGAGAAGGCCCTCCCCCTGGGGGTCGCCAGCCGGCACTGTCTGGCTGACGGCACCCTGAGGAGACCCACTCTGTGGGAGCGTACTGGCCGATGGGAGGTAATCTGAGGCAGAAGGCGGTCTCGAAGATATCCAGGTCCGATGCCATGGAGCGCTTTGAAGGTGATAATCAGCACCTTGAAGCGCACCCGGAAGGCCACCGGCAGCCAGTGCAGCTCGCGCAGTAACGGTGTTACGTGGGAGCGACGAGTCCCTCCCAACACCGCCCGCGCAGCCGCATTCTGGACTAACTGGAGCCTCCGAGTGCTCCTCAAGGGGAGCCCCATGTAGAGAGTATTACAGTAGTCCAGGCGGGAGGTGACAAGGGCATGGGTGACTGTGCGCAAGGCGTCCCGGTCCAGAAAAGGCCGCAACTGGTAGATCAGGCGTTCCTGATAAAACGCCCCCCTGGTCACGGCCGCCAACTGGTCTTCCAGTGTCAGCCGTGGATCCAGGAGGACACCCAGATTGCGTACCCTCTCCGAGGGGGCCAAAGTTTCGCCCCCTATAGTCAGTGATGGAATCAGCTGACTATGCCGAGGCGCCGGCAGCCACAGCCACTAGGTCTTGGAAGGGTTGAACCTGAGTCTGTTTCTCCCCATCCAGACCCTTACGGCCTCCAGGCATCGGGCCATCACATCAAGGGCATCATTGGAGTGGTCTGGGGTGGAAATGTACAGCTGAGTATCATCAGCGTACTGATGGAAGTCCACCCCAAAGCCACGAATGATCTCCCCCAGCGGCTTCACATAAATATTGAACAAAAGCGGAGAGAGGACTGACCCTTGTGGCACCCCACAAGTTAGGGGCCTTGGGGTCGACCTCTGTCCCCCTGCCAATACAGACTGCGTACGGTCGGTGAGGAAGGAGGAGAACCACCGCATGACAGTGCCTCCCACTCCCAACTCCCCCAAGCGCCGCAGCATGATACCGTGGTCCACGGTATCAAAAGCCGCTGAGAGGTCCAAAAGAACTAGGACAGAGGAATAGCCCCTGTCCCGGGCCCTCCAGAGATCATTCACCAATGTGACCAATGCCGTTTCCGTGCTGTATCCCGGCCTGAAGCCCGACTCGAGTGGATCCAGATAGACTGTTTCCTCCAGGTGCCGAGGGAATTGCTGCGCAACCACACTCTCAACAACCTTCGCCACAAAGCGAAGGTTGGAGACTGGGCGATAGTTAGCCAATACATCTGGGTCCAGGGAAGGCTTCTTAAGGAGGGGCCTCACCACCGCCTCCTTCAAGGTTGCGGGGAAGACACCCTCCCGTAAAGAAGCGTTTGTAATTCCCTGGAGCCAGGCTCGTGTACCCTCCCGAGCCGCCAGCACCAGCCAGGAGGGGCACGGATCCAGTAAACATGTGGTTGCATTCAGCCTCCCCAGGATCCTGTCCACGTCCTCGGGAGCCACAGAGTCAAACTCCTCCCATATAATAGTCTCAAGACCTGCTCCCGTCTCCTCCCCCGGGGCCACCCAGTCGGAGTCTAAACCCTCTCGGATCCGAACGACTTTGTCATACAGATATTGAGCAAAATCCTCAGGCCTCCCCACCAGGGGGTCCCCCCCCTCAGTTGAAGGAGAGAGCGGGTCACCCTGAAGAGGGTGGCCGGGCGGTTATCTGATGACGCAATGAGGGTGGAGTAGTAATTAGACCTCGCCACCCTCATTGCCACTAGGTAGGATCTAACATGCATCCTTACCTGTGCTCGGTCGGATTCGGTTCGGGTAGCCCTCCAACTGCTCTCTAGGCGTCTTTTCCAGCGCTTCATCTCTCTCAGCTCCTCGGTAAACCAAGGAGCTAGTTGAGATCTGCGTCGGGTCAGAGGCCGCAACGGCACGACTCGGTCCAGTGCTGCGGCAGCGGCCACATCCCAGGCCGCCGCCAGATTTTCCGCCTGTGTGAGTCGGTTCAGCTCTTGCCTCGGTACTCTTCTCTCTGCGTGGTTGTCCTTGGGCCGCTGCAATGGGTCTCGCTTCTCGAGGTGGTTGACTGACGGGTAGAACCAATGGCCAATACTCGTCCCCGCCATTGTCTCTGGCCCCGCCCGTGTTGTTGGCCACGCTTTCTTGGCGTAACTCAGCGACCCCGATTCGGCCCCTCAGTTGATCAAGGTGGCGCCACCAAACCCGGTTGTCCTCCACACGAACTTCGTAGGATCTGGGCCCGGCGATAGAGATGATGGTCGCTTTCACCCACTTCGGCTCCCCCGCGTGATTAAGGGCATACACTAAATCCCCCTCCGTAAAACCCCGAGTTACCTTTCTGGATTCCGGTGGCGTGTCCGTTTGGTAGCTGGGATGGAGGCGATCCAGGGGTGACCTCAGTTGGCGACCCATCAACA